TCATGGCGACCTCTTTCCTGTTCAGTGTATCCATTTAGATCCTCCACAATTGTAATTAACTTATCTTGATATAAACTATAATTTTTATAAAAACAAGTTATTGCATAATAATTCTAACATTTCTTGTAAGTTATATATCTACTTAGTAGCTCTTAAAATCATGAAAATATTTTATATTAGGACAAGATTAGAAGCTTCTAATTTCACGAGTTTAGTTTTTACTTAAGAAGTTAACTGTGAAGCAGCTTTTGATTTAAAGTCGATAGATATTGAAATCAATAACACTTCTGTAGCTCTTGATTTTATTAATAATTTGTATTGATAAACTTTAGTTTATTAGTGTTCGATTTCTGCCATCTTTTAAATAAAATGATTAATAAATAAATTTGATAGCTGCATACTTCTCATAAAACAAAACAAGTATTTAATAATTAAATAAATACAGTGAAAAACAAGTAACAGTTCCGAAAAATAACTATTATGGAAGTCAATATACTACAACTGAAAATTCTTTACCTACCTTTGCAAATTCATTTAAAGCTTTCAAAGTTGTACTTTACTTATAACATCACATATGAAACATCGAATAATGTATAAATAACAATTTGTTACAAAAATTAGAGACACTTCAAAAAATTCGTGCAAACCCCGTGAAATATCCGCTAGCGTTACAATTCTTGTCAAAATTTTGTAGAGAAGATTTATAGTTTAATGGAGTATAAAACGAATTTTAATAAAATGTAAAACTACAATATAATGATGTGTTTCCAGTAAAAAGGAAGTGCTTTAGAATTAAAAAACATCAAGGGTATAAAAAAAGTTATTGGTTGATTTCTGCAAAAATAAAAACAAAAAACAACGAAACAAACTATTTTTAAGTGGAAAACATTTCCAAGACATAATGTCAATCCATAATGAACACCTAAGTAGTGGAAATACATTTTATTGTGCATTTGCGTAGCATTGGAAGAAAAGTTTGTTTGAAGTTAATAAGCACAGAGCTACACAATGGGCTATCTGTGCTCTTCTCACCACGGGTATCGAAACCCACTATGGGGGAGGGGGCTTTCTGTAGCACCTAAACTCTTAGTGAATATATACTCAACCTTGATGCGTGTAACTGAACTGACTTATGACTTACTACCTGTATACGCAGTTAAGGTCGAGGGAAATATTGGTTCAGTGCTTTATATAATTGGAGTAGGCCTATAGGATACAACATGGTTAGTGCTGGGACGTATATCAAAGTTTATCGAAATACAGACATTATATAACATGCTTATATACAATTCTATGTTTAACATATATAGGTAACGGTAGCATATGGATATTGACATTAACCAGCTTGGTAACGATGCGGTCTATTTGACATATTTGCTATCTAATGACATTTCATAGGCTCTAATAAAGTCTAAGTCATACATTTTCTCTTGAGAAGCTTCCTAATAGAATAATGAAATTGTTCCACAGCATATACAATATTAGTGTAGAACCAACAATAGGCGTATATAACATTATCGCAATAGAGTTGTTTATTTAATCAATTTCTATTTCAGTTTTCGGACAATCTGTGAAATTAAATTTAGGGGGCGGATTACGTGTTTCAAAATTATATGAAAGTTATAATAAGAAACATACATACATACAAGTTCTATATTGTAAATAAAGTTCATAATGCAAACAACAGAAATAACTGTGAGGTTGTTGTGTTTATAATAGGGAATCAGGAAGTTCAGCGAAGTATATACAAAAGCAAGAAACCTATAATTCAGCTGTCAATAACCCTAACTTGATGGCTTGTATCTTGTTACAGATCCGACTGTTTAAAGTAGAAAAAAACTTAGGAAAGCGTTGTGATGCACATTGTTGAATTTGAAAATAAAAGATGCATTATAAGAATCACGTGATAATCCTAAACCTAAATTGATGGCTTGTATCCTGTTACAAATCTGATACCGTTGTGACACACGTTACTGAATTTGAAAGTGAAGATGCGTTATAAGAATCACGTGATATTCCTAAACCTAAATTGATGGCTTGTATCCTGTTACAAATCTGATACCGTTGTGACACACGTTACTGAATTTGAAAGTAAAGATGCGTTATAAGAATCACGTGATAATCCTAAATCTAACTTGATGGCTTGTATCCTGTTACAAATTTAGGTTTAGGATTACGTGATTCTTATAACGCATCTTTACTTTCAAATTCAATAACGAGTGTCACAACGCTATCAGATTTGTAACAGGATACAAGCCATCAATTTAGATTTAGGATTATCACGTGATTCTTATAACGCATCTTTACTTTCAAATTCAGTAACGTGTGTCACAACGGTATCAGACTAATGGCTCGTATCCTGTTACAGATCCAACAGTTTAAAAGGAAAAAATAATCTAAGACAGAGTTGTGACGCACATTATTGAATACGAAAGTAGAGATGTGTTATAAGAATCATCTTATTTCCGGGTTAATGTTATACTTGATTCGATAGAACTACGAAAAAGAAAGCGCGATGAGAGCGTTTCTAAAAGCCAACTTCACGGCTCATGTTTAACTTGTTCAAATTATACTAAACATAGAAAGTAAAATATAACATAATTTTGATACCAATTTCTTGATTATAATAGAACTGTTTCTTCCACATGAAATTAGGCATTCGAATATATCTAATATTAGTTTCTTAATTATGATACAACCGTTTCTTTGGATTAATTATTTAGCTGCTCTTTAAGACTAGAAAAATGAAGTAAGATATAACACCACATTAACACTACGTTTTAGGTTTAGGTTTTAGTTATGCTGGTAAAATTGAAGATACGGAACGAACTATGAAATCAATTCTAATATTAACTTCTGAGTTTATGGTGTGGTTGTTCTTGCGGAACTATTAACTTGGAACGAAGTTATATAAGACTTCGAGCAGGATAATGATAAATAGCTGATTTTTTTAATCTTTACACCGAAGCAGCTATGTAGTATATATAGAGAGAGAGATAATGTTTTACAATAGTTTTGTTCAGTTTTCAAAAATAGTTATTTATGAGAATTTCAACGTAAAATAGGCTTCAGATATTCTCTTGAATACATGTACTTAATACTCATACCTCTTGTAAACGCCATGAGCACAAAAATAGTTCCTACTTCTAAAAGTCAGTATTATCAAGTGTAGAAATGTTAAAAGCGCTTACAGAATATTTTGATAAACGGATTCTAAATTAGATATGGAAAGAATAGTCTTCCAAAAATAACGAAAAATAACCTAAGCATTGCTATAAGTCTGGTAAAAGATCTAGCTTCGAAGACTTGAACTTGACACTTTTCACTAAATTAGATGAAGTAAAAGTTTGTTTTATTTTAATTTCTAGAAAATGTAATTCAATTAACTATATTTTATCAAATAATTTTAATATATTTGGGTAACTTATATTTGTTAACATTATTTAGGATACTAATTTGTTGCCTTCTTTCTTGTTACAACTGACTTCGCTTCTCATGCCAGAAAAAAAAAGAGCAAATTTTTCCTGCTAAAACTGTATTTCGAAACCTTCATATTTTTGTTTACGTATCATAGAATATAAACAGAAAAAACGTCGATGATTTAAAAAATTAAGCCTTTTGATAGGTTTCATAACTCCCCCTAGGTGACTGTTCATCATAAACAATGAACCGTATTTCACTTGAGAAATAAAGACCGCAATGAATATCAACATAGACTAGAATCTATGTGTCAGTATATAATTAAAGGCTGTTTGTTTCGCTTAGATTTATTTTACGTTTATATTTGAACTGCATGAAATTTTGTATTTGTTTTTTTAATCATTGTGAAGACTACTTGTAAACAGAAAGTTATATAGTACCAATAAGGTATTACTTTGTAATTATACACCACGATTACAAAAATTTGCTTTTACAAAAAATAAATTATAACTTAACTTGTAACACAGTGCTAACAATATTAATAACGATGAACTTAATGACAGAAACAATCACGTAAGTTACCAGTGCGACAAACAATGTTTCCCAAACGTACGTAGCACACATCATCTAATGGTTTTTGATTTAGAGGATTAATAACGGAGAATAATATCCCATTTGAGCTAATCTTGGGAGATGAAAGAAATAACTTACAAAATTCATCCTCCCTCGCCAATTTTCTCAATTGTTGTTCCCTTAAAGCTACCTATGTTGAAGTCCTACTTTCTCTTCTACGTTTGTATCTTCTTTTCATTTTTTTTGTATAGCTATCCCACTGAAACTGCTTAAGTTAAAGTCTTTGATAGTCTTAAACTTATATATCTTGCAGGTTTATGCAAAGTTATTTTTTAAAAAAAGGCGACGTTCAACGTTCCTATCTTTTGCAAATTTCGACACAGCTAATCTCCCCAGACTATTTAAGCTCAAGTTTATGTATATTTCCTGCAAAATGTAAACAGCTTTTCCCCTGATACTGCTTAAGGCCAAGTCCATGGACTTATGTACGTCTCCAGAAAATGTTTACACGTGTATCCCCTGAGGCTGCTTTCATTCAAGCCCTTGAATGTCCCTACTATAATATCTCAAGTAAATCTTTAGAAATGAAGTAATTCTACTTAAAGTTGCGATATGCGTGATTTGTTTCTACCATAAGCTAATATTTGAATCAAATAACAGAGTGGCTAGTAATTATTCATCAAGAGGGTTTGTAGAAAGTATTGATGATGTATCATTTGCACTAAACAGATTCATTGAACGTAAAAATAACCCTCAGGGTTTTCTTATAACTTACTATTCAGCATGTCTTTTTAAACTATTTACTTCTAGCACATGGATATTTTGAATGCTCAATGTAACATCCACCTATATTTTTGATTATCACCCATCCACCCACCATGTTCATCTCACTAAAATTATTTGTCCTCGGAGTTCCCTGATTTCACTTTCTGTAACTCTCAATAAATTCACGCTTGCTTCCTTTAAAATTCATTCACTCAGGCTACTCAAAGTTTGTCTCGTTTGAATTCTCCATCTTAAAACACTATTTGTGTACCAACTCTGGGCTACATGATAATCGTGAAAATATACGTTCACGACTATTCATATTTAATTGACATAATAGTTGCATATTTTTACCGACGCAAATATTCGTTCTGTAAATTGCTAAAAAAAGGAAGGCATACATTTTGAAATAGTTGCATATACAAATTAAATAACGTTTAACTTTTACTCACGAATCATATTTTCTCGTATCTTTCATAGAAAGTCAAAAGTTTCTTAATTCCGACCCATCGACCTTGAAATCCGCTGTTACATCAAAAAAGATGAAGCGGTTTAATATCAAAATTTAGCAATAAGAAAAAAAATAAAGTAATCACACAGAACAAATATATGAAAGAATATTTTAAAGTCTGTTATGCTAAAATCAAGGCTTTACTATAACATATTTGATTGTATTTCGCAAAATTACTTTCAGCTCTTGAGATTCCTTGAGTGTAACGGATGCAAGATGCTCGATGGTGAACCGACATGTCGACTAGACTGAGTCCTTTTAAATATTTCAACATGGGTGTGAGGGAAGCAAGACGGAGATAATAACTAAATTAGGGAGAAATTCTATATTTTAAATGCGTGGCTACTAAACACTGTGGATCAGTTGATGTATGAAGCTCCAAGCGATAAAGCTGGTAAGAATAAGACTGCAGGAAAATTCTCTCGTGGCTGATTTGTTCTTGGTGCATTTTTTTTCTTGCTTGACGAGCGAGGCTATAAGAAAGAAGATCCATTAGAATTTATAATCAAGATATCAAACAACAAGAAAGAGAGTGCTACTATCAACAACTGTTTATAAAGCAACGAGAAAGAGTATTCCTATCGACAACTGTTTATCAAGCAACGAGAAAGAGTATTCCTATCGGCAACTGTTAATTAAGCAACGAGAAAGAGTATTCCTATCGGCAACTGTTAATTAAGCAACGAGAAAGAGTATTCCTATCGGCAACTGTTAATTAAGCAACGAGAAAGAGTATTCCTATCGGCAACTGTTTATTAAGCAACGAGGAAGAGTATTCCTATCGGAAACTGTTTATTAAGCAACGAGAAAGACTATTCCTATCGACAACTGTTTATTAAGCAACGAGAAAGAGAATGTTCCTATCGACAAATGTTTATTAAGCAATAAAAAAAGAAAGTGCTCCTCTTGATAGCTGTCTACTAAGCAACAAAAAAGAGAGTGTTACTATAAACAACTGTTAATTAAACAACAAGAAAGAGTGTTCCTGTCGATAGCTGTTTATTGAGAAACAAGAAAGAGAGTGTTCCTGTCGATAGCTGTTTATAAGCAACAAGAAAGAGAGTGTTCCTGTCGATAGCTGTTTATTGAGAAACAAGAAAGAGAGTGTTCCTGTCGATAGCTGTTTATCAAGCAACAAGAAAGAGAGTGTTCCTGTCGATAGCTGTTTATTAAGCAACAAGAAAGAAAGTGTTCCTATTGACAGCTGTTGCAACTTCTGACGTTTGTAAAACAGTGTCTCATCAATAATCCATGAAAATAAACTCAAATGTAAAATGGTACGTCATCCATTCATGTTTTAAATCTATTCAAATTAACCCAAAAGTAAAATAGCGTGTAAAGCTTAATTTTAAAGCGTTTTAATTAATCTAAAAGTAAAATGATGCTTCATAAACAGTTGATAAAGCCCTATAAAAGTAACCTAAAAGTGGTTCTTTAATAGGTGTTAAAGTAAAAATCAAAAGTAGTAAATCTCATAAGACTTTGGTTTTTTATCGCAAGTTAAAGAAAAACTTACTTAATAAGATATTATTATTATATTATGTAATACTTGTTCTGAACCAAGGCAATTATTGTGGTGTAAAACACATATTCTACGTCAAAATATGTTTTATAATATAAACCGTAGATTAGCGTAACGTCTGCTGAATAGAATATGCCTACGTAATTAACTATAAGACTATGTATTGAGGTAATTATCTAAGAATAAAATACTGTACCGAGGCACTAATGTAGGATATAATACATACTACCCAAGCTTTATAGAAGTAACGTGTTCAGAATTTAATGCATGCACCAAGATACTGTTGTAAGATACAACACTCACTACTCTGTACCAGTGTAGCCATTATAGAATAAAGCACATATACCGAGATAATATTGTATGATATAATACTTGCTCTGTACCAATGTTTTCTAGAATATTGTACGTGAATTGAAGTACAATTATGAGATAACTATTACGAAATACTACGTACTACTCTCCTGCGCCTAGATGGACTTCAACACATGTGCAGAAGTAACTATCTTATATCATAAAAGTCATTAGTTCTGTACCAATATAAATACTGTTGAACATAACATAGGTTACAAAGACAAATATTATAGAATATAACACCCATGAATTATGTACAAATATTAATGCTGTAGAATATAACACCTATTCTGTACAAAAGTAGCTACTGTGGAATGAAACTTCTACAGTGGAAAATATGGTATATACACTTTGTCATTAGGTATGGAAAGCGTGTAAAATAGGTGCTGCTTTCTACTGTCACAAATGCCACATCTTACGTATACTTGTGTAAAATAGGTGCTGCTTTCTACTGTCACAAATGTCACATCTTACGTATACTTGTGTAAAATAGGTGCTAAGTATACGTAAGATGTGACATTTGTGACAGTAGAAAGCCGTTCGAATCCCCGTCACACCAAACATGCCAACCTCCGCCTTTGCCTGGTCCAAGTACCAGGTGAGAAATGGGGAGGGTTGGGCTAGCAACTCCATCCTGTAAAAACCAACGTGCTATAAGTAACTGCAACAACACCTTCCGTTGGCGAGGTGTTGTTGCGGCCCTATGCTCCACTGGGAGTTTACAGGATAAAAAAAAACTCTAGGTAAACCTTAAGTTATAAATAAAAATAGCCACGTGCAAAATAAGTCGCGACCCTCAGATTACGAGTCGAGCGACCTAACCACCTGGCCATGCCGGGCCTTACCTAGCGGTTACTTCTGCATATAATACTTTGTATACACCTAAGACTATTCAGCTTACCAAAACTACTTAATTATACAAGTAAAGAAAAACTTTTCAAAAAAAGGAAGTAACAATGCAAACAAGATAGTATGGATGGTATTTTTATCATCCCTACATAATAGCACAGACACACAGTATAACATAATGTTAACAAAGAAAAATAGGATAAATTAAACTCAATTGTGATTGAATAGTTTTATATATATTACTATATATTAATTCTTACCTGCGCCATTACGTAGAGATGATGCAAATACCATCCCTATTATTTTGTTTGCATTGTTTTTGAAGGTTTTACATCAGCCATCCCTACATTTACTTCTTTTTTTGAAAGTTTTCTTTACTTGTTTTGTTTTAACGCAGTGTTTCATCAGTAGACATAGAAAGGTTGTATTTATAACAAAGTTCTAAATATAATGAGGTTACAACTGTATTCTTTATTGTTTATCTATTATTGGCTGGTAATTCATCTTTAACCCTGTACTTTAGCTTTTTAGAGGAACATCAACTGTGTGTAAGAGTGTTAGCTTCAAGGGGAAATAATAACATCGTTTACACTAGAACAATAATTATTTTTAACAACTACTAGTTATTAATGATACTTATAAAAGCGGGTAATCCGTTTGAAACTATGTCACCTCAGTGAAATTGGTTGACAACATTGTTTTGGTTTGTGAACCATCATGTAATAAAAAAAGAAGCAGAAGAAAGAAGAACAAGAAATTCAAACTTTTTGCTATGATATTTACAGACATTCCCAGAACTTGTGACTCAGTCAATACATAGATATTGTTATAAAAGAAAACACGGTATAGTATTGTAAAGTTCTGGTGACCTATTGAGGAGATATTTAAAATACTGTTTCGATGAACAATCCGAGTCATCCCTGCATAGGTAGTGCTACCGCTTGTCTGTTACACTCGCTCTGTGTGTGTGTGTGTATGCAGAAGGTTTGTCCTTGTTTTCCGATTAATTGTTCATAGTATGTTCTGTAACTTCTTTTTATTGCATTATTTTAAATATATCAATTGCAAACTATTTTTATATACATACATGCATTAGGTGTTTTTTTTTACTATTTGTACCATTACGCTGAGGACTTTACAGCTAAACAGTAACACGTGTCATGGCTGTTTATTTCGAATGTTAAGGTAATAGAGATTTACATTGTTCAGGCCAATTATTGCGTTTTCATTGATCATTAGCCGCTTTCGGGAAGATTGTATAAAACCTTGAGTATAGCTTTCCTAGGGACAGGGAATTAATGGCAGAACAGGAAATGAGCAAATAATTTTTATTCGTTTCATTAATATTATAGGCTATGATGATAATTATTTAGCATTAACTTAGTATATGCATTTAGAACTAGCCTAAAGCTCCTAAACTGCTCAATTCCTCATGAAATATTATTGGGATTATAGCCAAAAATATCGATAATAACGATAGTACTCGACTGATGAATCAACGCATTCTAATGATTGTATGTTTTTGCTTTCATGTGAACTGTTTTATGGCATTACATACGTTTAATTGGTCTGTTATATAAAATTGTCTGTAATGTTTCTTAGGTTATTTTTTAACTTCTAACTTATGTAGTTAGTTTGCTTTAACTAGAAGGTATTGATAAAAGCTGGCTAGCCATATGAGTAATATAATATGTGCACGGTGGCTTGTTGGATTATTGTCTTTTCCCTTTGGGGTGGGCATGATCATCAACAATGTTTAAGTGCACTGAGGGTGTTATTAATCTTTCTAACTGAACCATACGGTCCAATTCTACAAAGAGGGCATGCTCCACACCATTATACCACCTCTAGGACCTTGCTCTATCACAATTTATGCTCTAAGTATTAATGAGGCTTTTTCTTTTTTATGTTTGTATGAGATAAGTAGTTTTGGGACTATATTCCAGCTGTTTTGTGACAGTTTTTGTAATCTTTTTCGTTTGATACTAGTGAAAAAAGTCAAATCCGGCTCATTGTTGAAGGAATCGGTCAACTGGGAAATAGTCTAGATCCTATAGTAACTTAAAAACATGTCTAATCAACTTTTCCTTTGGTCAGTCAAAAGTGGTTAATGATCGCAGCCTAGTGGTAGACATATTCCCTTTCGCTTGCTATTGTTCGTAGACAATGATGAAAGATGTCTTTAACTAGCCAGTGAAAGAAATGAATTTTGTTAAAGAAACCCTTCCTATACTTATGCCAAATGTTGTGCTCTTTGAAAGTTGGAAGGATCCTTGGTCTGACACTTTGTCTTGCAGGTTAATTATGATGTAGCTAGTTCTCTGCAATCAACTGACACTTCACAAGTTTAGTCTATTTTACATGTACAAATAAATGAACTGCTCTACAAAAAAAATTTGTCACGATTAATTAAGTGAATTTCAGCTTATACGAAAACAATGACAAATTCTCATATAAGCCTCGTTTGTTTGTTTGAAGTTAAGCATAAAGCTACACAATGGGCTATCTGTGCTCTGCCCACCACGGGTATCGAAACCCGGATTCTAGCGTTGTAAGTCCGCAGACATACCGCTGTGCCACTGGGGGGGGGGGCTATAAGCTTCGTATGACCCTAAACAGCAGAGAAAGTACACACACACATTGTATGAATTTATGTCTACTCTGCCAGAAACATCACTAAAATATGAAGTAGGAGTCTACTCACGTGAAGGAATACAGAAATAAATTATTTTTGTATGCTTTTTACATGCCAGTTAAAACGACAAACCCTCTCTCCCTCCACAAACACATTTTTTTTTGATTAACTAAAATAATTTTTCTTATAAAACGCTAGGTGGCGACGGCTAAATATATCAAAAATATGAATAACGTCGGTTACTGACTTATTATTGAACGATCATTTACTAGAAAATGTTTCGAGTTAAGAATTTTGTAAACTTATTCATTAGATTTTGTATTGGGTTTTAGCATTATCATAAGGTAACGTGGACGGAATAAATTAGTCTTCATTTTGGTATTGCAAATTCCCATCTTTACAAAGTAATGAAAGTAATCCAAGTAATTTGGTTTTCCAGATAATTTTGTGGAGAGTTACTGTTAGACGTAAATTCGAAATCCATTAATTACTGTCAAGCAATAACCAGTTAGCAGCAGTCAGCTGAAGTATCTTAAGTGCCCATCTGAACAACAATGAAAAGCCAAATAGGTCTAAGTTACTTAAAAGCCTAATATTAACTAACGTTATTAGTGATTTCCCATACTAAGCTAAACAAGTTTAGGTTTAATCTATTACTAGTTAAATTACAGACAAGATCACTTAAGTATAAACGGAAAACCCGAATTGCTTTCAAAGTCTATGACATTAAAAAAATTATATTCAATCATGTTTTCATAAACCCAATTAGCCCCCCAGTGGCACAGCGGTATGTCTGCGGACTTACAACGCTAGAATCCGGGTTTCGATACCCGTGGTGGGCAGAGCACAGATAGCCCATTGTGTAGCTTTGTGCATAACTTCAAATAAACAAACAAACAAAAACTCAATTAACGTTTGGTCTAAGATTTGACTTTTAAACCGCCCTACTTTCTTGTCTGTACCAAAGCCCATAGACCAATACTGTATTGGTCTGGAGTTTGAGTAAACTCAACTACGATGTAACATGCAGGTATTTACGCATAACACTTCTCGTGATATATATATTGATTGTATAGAGATCGTTGCACAAATATCAGTTTCAAATGCTGGGTTTTGTCACACGAAAAATTGTTCAATGAATCTACCGGACCGCATGGTTGACATCGGAATGTTACCATTTCATATTTACAATTACATGGATACATTATTTTCAGTCTGTGATCTTGAAACTGTCTCCAGGTCATACAAATTCTCGTCAGTAGAAGATATCTTAAAGGCGTACTGTTCAACCAAGTTTAATCTACCTTTTTCAAAAAAGTACTTGAACTATAATTAACACAAACACGCAAACAAAAAAAAACAGACAAATTTGATAAATGGAAATAGGAAATGACCTATTTGATAATGACTTTGTGTAAAAAAATAATTTTTGAGAGTTGTACAAACTAACTCACATATTATTTTCTATTATAAAAATATCTTTACCCGTTCGTTTGACTAGCTGAGGTAGGTAGTGATGCCAAAAGGCACAGTACTCTGCACGGGGTCCTCTGTTAATTTCAAAAGGCTGCAAGTCAAGAGTCAAATATTCTTTTCCGCCGCTGGTGTGGATGACCCAGTAAGTTTCATTCTTTGGTTCAAAATTCTCCATGTTTGGATTGCTGAGAATGTAATTGATGTAGGTTAGTTTATTCTAAAGTTTAAATCATTTTCAGTTGCACATTCTTAAACCGACCAACGACTGATTTAACTGAGAGTTCCAGAGAGATTTTTTAATGTTTTCGGTGAATTAGTTAGCTAACTGTTGTCTTATCTATTCTACTGTTAGCTTGAGTATTGTGAGGCTGAGGCCCGAATCTAGTGTGTGATGTAATTAATTTTTATGATCATTTTACTAACTAACTGTCTGCATTAGACATATTAACAACATATTTAACTAATGTAAAGCGTTACAAAATCACATATGTTTATCTAGATACTTTCATCTTCATTGGAACTTATAATACTCTGTTAAATAAATGCATAATATCACATTATATGTATTTTGTTTTATTGTGTGGGAAAAGAAAAATTTATGACAGAATAATAACAGATATGAAGCTTTAGCAATCTTTCACTTCAAATTCACTTATAATTCAAATCTTTCAAAAGCGATAAGCTATAAAATCTTTGAACGTAAAGGAAATGTTTAATATTATGAAAGTTATTCATTGACACTATCCAGAGTCAATATGCAGATCAAGTAGGCTTAGCAAATGTCACAAGGATAAATAGATAGAGTCATTACATTTAATTAAAATGCTAAAACTGAACAAAAACTCAACGGCTCAAAAGCTTCAGTGTGGAATATGATAGGTGATAGGATTTACCAGCTTTCTACTCATGAAATAATTTATAGTTAAACTGATATTTTTTGAATATTCAAGTTTAAGGAATTTGTAGAATTTGTGGAAGAATAAAATATTTAATTGGATAAAGAAAATATTGGATTATACGAATATGCCTGAGATAAAAATATTTGACGGTAACTAACACATGAACTAAGAGGATGTTTCTAAGTATGTATGATACGTATTCATCTTGTAAAACATGCTACAGCAGGCTAAACCTTCAGTGATTATCACCCGAATTTTAACTGTTGAGGATGACAAAGCATTCTATGTACAATATTCTTCTTCTTTTTTTTTAAATTATAAAAACTGGAAGATACAGAGAAATCAAAACACACTTTCTTGTCCACCGTTGATTTTCAATGAGGATTATTCCAGTTTTAGGTCTTGTCTGTGAATTAATACTATATCTAAGAATTGATTTATATAATTAAATAATCATGCCAGTTCTCGCCCGAACAAAACTTATGAAGTTAAGGCTGAATCTTGCTGATATCTTATATGATAAGAACAAATTCATAAATAATTTTCGGATTTTGTTTTCTCTTTTTCACAAAACTTAGAAAAATGTCTAGGTTTTATTTCTTAATTGCTTCTTTTTTTCAGGCTCCAGAGACCTATGACCTATGAATGATCCATGGGCGATAAGAGGATATAGGAAGTGAATTTATAGATATGACATAGCAAGGTTGGGCCTTACAATATGCTTATATATTTGCGAGGGAACAAATTTAAATATCCTTCACATAAATTGGACAAGACTAAAATACTTAAAATGTGATATCATCGACACAGAACAAAAAAAAGAAAGAAATGAGCATCGTATACAATAGCGGTTTAATTAACTAACCAGAAGGATTCGGTATTATTAAAATTAGAGGGGGATGGGGATAGAAGTTGGAGTTCGATTTTGTGCATTATTTTGTCAATTTTATGAATCGTTTCTCTTGTTTTAAAAGCTAGTTTAATTTTGGTAGAAACTGTTTCTTGTTTAGTTTTCTCATCTTTGCTAATCAGAATGCGAATTCGAGGATGATGATGATGATGATGCACATTTATAACTGTACACTGGGGACTTTACATACATATGTGTGTAAATTATAAATGATAAGCTAGTTGGTACAGAATTAGGTAGAATTCTTCACAGGTGATTTCGGCAAAAAGTTCAAAATTGTGACATCAATTTTATAGTCTTTAAACTTTGAAAACTTTTATTCTTAAAATAACAGAGATGCAACGTTAATATTTAGTTTTCGAAAATAAAGATAACAAACACTTTATCACGTCATCATAACTGCAGCTAGTTTTTTTTTGTAAGATTATTGGTAATTGAAATTTTATAGTATATATGTTACTATCTAATAGTAAAATTTAAAAAGAAATCTGGTCAACATTTTTTACGTAATAAGAATGAATAACGTTTCTTGATGGTCAACATTTTGTTACGTAATAAGAATGAACAACGTTTCTTGATGGTCAACATTTTGTTATGTAATAAGAATGAACAACGTTTCTTGATGGTCAACATTTTGTTATGTAATAAGAATGAACAACGTTTCTTGATGGTCAACATTTTGTTACGTAATAAAAATGAACAACGTTTCTTGATGGTCAACATTTTGTTACGTAATAAGAATGAACAACGTTTCTTGATTCGGAAAGAATATTTTTGTTGCTTAATAATAACAGTTTTATTGCTTATTTATTAGAAACCTCAATCTTTTTATTTTTGACTTACCCCGTTTTAGCAAAGTTGGCCCAATATCTCATAATTTTCCTGGATAACATTATTTCCTTACTCGTATATCTATATGTTGGGTTGAGAGGTTCACCAAAGACAAATGGGATTTCGTCGCCATGCATGACACCCGTCCACCTTGGCCAAGGATTGATAGAAGAGCGGTGGGTAAAGTAGTACATATAGACATTGCTTCCAGCTTTGGCAAAATGATGGGCAAAATCGTTCACACTGCAAGTAAAGTGGTAATCTCCCACAATTTTATCTATTGCATCTCGAAGATGGATGGAACTATTTGGATTTAGCCAGTCAGTGTATTGAAAGATAATAGCTTTTTGGGCAATGTCTCCAATATAAGGATTCAACTCCTTGATCGAATCAACAAAATCTTTTCTTGTAAGATATACGTCTTCTTCCTTTTTAAACAATTCTGTCAAGTAGTAAATGATCCAGTACGTACCTTCCTCTGAATTGCTACCCATTAAGACATTGGTCTTCTTAAAGTTCTTGGTAGTGAGTGAAATCGACGGATGTTCGTCAATGAAAGCACCATCTACAACTGGGACAAAGGGAAAATCAATTACGCCTAAATTACCTGATTCGTTCATGATAAGATCCATTGGATCCGCGTTTCGAAGACAGTTTACTACAGCTTCCAATTCATTTGGATCATGTGGACACTTGAGAGCCTCAGCAAGACGTAGGCCACGTTTTATGGACTCCTCATGATCAAGTATAGCCCATGGAGATGTTGCTGAACCACTTTGTAGAATACCACGATTGAAAAGGTTTCTACTAAGTGGAGATAACAAGTGAAGGCCTACACTAACAGCACCAGCACTCTCCCCAAATAACGTGATGTTTTCTGGGTCACCTCCAAAGGCAGCAATGTTGTCATGGACCCATTCCAAGGCCATTAGCTGGTCAAACAAACCGGCATTTCCGGGTACATCTGGCCGATCGAGAAACAAAAACCCCAAAGACGCCACTCTGTAATTCATCGACACCACTATCACTTGTTCTTCAGTAGATAATATTTTGGCGTCATATACATTTAGTGTAGATGTCCCACTGTAGTAACCACCACCAAAGATCCACACCATCACAGCAGCTTTTTTAGGCTTGATATGAGGCACCCAAACATTCAACTTCAAACAATCTTCACTAAGTGGAGTGTTGGGATTCCACATTTTTGAACCAGAAAAGTTGCCAAAAAAAGTATCACTGATTTGAAAACAAGTGTGAGGTTTCTGGGTGGCATTAAAAACGTCATACCATGGGTCGATAGGCTTAGGGTGTCGAAACCTATACTCCCCAACGGGTGGCTTTGCGTACGGAATGCCCCAGTAGACATCGACCAGATTCCCAGTAACAGTTCTTGTAGTTTTTCCTCTGATTAAACCTTTGTTAGTATGCACTAAAGGGTTTTCTTCAGATCGCTCCAAAGGAATGCTCCGTCCTAGGCCAAGGGTGATGACACATATAGCTAATATCAGCGCTACACCATGATGAAAAGGAGAATATTTCCACCAAGTCGAACTAAAGCTTTTTCTTGACACTAAGATCATAATCTTTGTGGAAGTTAGAAATTTCCAGCCCTGCAAAAGAAAACAAAGTATCTGATTCCAACAATTTACTTTAGAACGATTCAAATATTTTAGTTGAACCGATGTTCGATCAAAGAAAATATTAGGGGTTGTGAGTATGATATTTAAACTTAACTTCAAATGAATTGCATGCTTTCGTCGTTTATCCAGAAGAATGCAATATATGCACAATTATATAAAACTACAGGTCTCAGTACGTTACATTAAAATTATTTTAATTCGAAAATCAGCAAGTTATATCACAATCACAGCCGACATGGAATGGATTGTATCAGAAGTGGCCCAGCATGGCCAGGTGGTTAGGGCGCTCGACTCGCAATCTGAGGGTCGCGGGTTCGAATCCCCGTCACACCAAACATGCTCGCCCTTTCAGCCGTGGGGGTG